GATTCTTTGTCCATTTATTATACAGCCATATCATCCGTTACTAATAATTAGAAAATAAGTTCACGGATAGCAAACAGGAAAGTTACTCTAAAGTCCACGAATATTACACACATCAAATTTCTTTACTTGAAGACAATCTTCATATACATTTAAATAGGAGAAAACTTATTAATGAGAGAACCGTAGACACAAAAAGGAAATCATTCTAATATTGAAACATTCCACAAAGAAATGATTCTTTCCTAACATTTAGAACATTCCACAAGGAAATCATTCTTTTCTAATAATATTTAGAAAACATTCTATAGACGAAATGGGGGAGATCTTGAAATAGTTGAGTTGATTCAAGAACCAACATCACAGCACTCAGGGCACTCCCAGAAGCGATCTGTTCCAATCATCTTCAGCAGCCAACATAGAGTTCCACTACCAGTGATGCCAGCAGCAGTCTGATTATATGCCCGTCCTCTGAGCATAGACTATATGCCCTCATCATTCCTCTGAGCATGGGCTATATCCCCTCATTCCTCTGAGCATGGACTATATGCCCTCATCATTCCTCTGAGCATAGACTATATGCCTTCATCATTCCTCTGAGCATAGACTATATGCCCTCATCATTCCTCTGAGCATAGACTATATGCCCTCATCATTCCTCTGAGCATAGACTATATGCCCTCATCATTCCTCTGAGCATAGACTATATCCCCTATCATTCCTCTGAGCATGGGCTAAATCCCCTCATCATTCCTCTGAGCATCGACTATATCCCCTATCATTCCTCTAAGCATGGACTATATCCCCTCATCATTCCTCTTCTGAGAGTCAGAGAATTCAGTCACTGTGCTAGTTACATGGACAACTCAGAGGCTCAACTTGGTGAAATGAAAATAGAGGCTCCAGACTAAATCTTGTCCATGAAACAAGATTATCTCACAATGATACATGATAATAACAAAGAACTTACGAGAAAATAATTTTCACAAGAGACCAGGAAAGGAAAACAAAGTAAATCTTAACAAGAAAGATGCTGATTGGCCGGATTTCAAGCAAATTTTCCATCCAATCATTAACCCCAGCTGTTCGATAAGTGTCCTTCCTTATCCCCATCCCACACAGTAACTCTGCCCCACCCCCATTTTTTTGTCCACTGGCACCATTATATTCACTAACCCTTAGACCATTTCTACTGTGAGCCTAACAGGTGCATTGCTTTCAAATCCCAATCGAACCGCAGCCACTCCTCTACCCCAACTTACCACCCTGTACACTCTACAATCCCAGTGTTATCTCCTAATTAGGTAAGTTCCCACCCCTTAATTCAAAATTAAACCTAGCACAGTTTACCCCAGAGGAAAGAAAAACAACTTGCTAATGTGTCAGAAGTAACATGTCGTAAGAAAATCACTGCACACACACAAACAATGCAAATGTTACAGCAGCATTGCAAATTTTAAAAAAAAAAAAAAAAGGCAAACCTTTCAAAATCATAATAATACTTGTATCCCTTCTTCCCAGGCAGTATTTAGAACACAAGAAAATAAAATGTACAAATTAAACAGGTCTGAAACATATACAAAGTTAATTCATAGAATGAATTGTACAAACAAAAACATCAATGAACTATTTAAATACAAGCAACTTCACTACAGACACTGTGTCCACAGGAAGTCCCCCAAATTTCTAATAATAACTACAGAATAATTGCTGAACTTTAAAGTTATTAAATTTGCATATTCTTTTGCAGGGGAAAATAAAATGTATAAACTTAAACCAGATCTGTCACAGTGCTATACAAAAAAAAAATATTTACAAACTGTGACAGGACAATTTTATTTAAATAACTAATAGTTCGCCATAACTTTGTCAACAGCTGCCTTCCACTACATCTTCCTCTGTTCTACATCTTCCTCTGTTCTACATCTTCCTCTGTTCTACATCTTCCTCTGTTCTACATCTTCCTCTGTTCTACATCTTCCTCTGTTCTACATCTTCCTCTGTTCTACATCTTCCTCTGTTCTACATCTTCCTCTGTTCTACATCTTCCTCTGTTCTACATCTTCCTCTGTTCTACATCTTCCTCTGTTCTACATCTTCCTCTGTTCTACATCTTCCTCTGTTCTACATCTTCCTCTGTTCTACATCTTCCTCTGTTCTACATCTTCCTCTGTTCTACATCTTCCTCTGTTCTACATCTTCCTCTGTTCTACATCCTCCAATGGAGCACAGGTCCTTTAAAAAAAAAAAAAAAACATGTCTAAACCTTCCTTTTCTTTGTCATCTAACGCAACTTAATATCCTTACCACCCAACTGATTCACCTTTCTAGATTCCCTGTGTGGGTTCTGGGGTCCCATTTTGGGGTTGGACAAGAACAGGGACCCCCCCCCCCCCCCCCCCCCAATCAAGTGAGCTGAAAATTTGAGTAAAGGATTTTGAAAGTGTGTGTCTGTCACAAGTCATACCAACAATCTGCACACAAGTAAGACCATAAAACTGATTTACACGCAAAATTTAAGTTCTGGAACAAGACCAGAAGTGGACAAAACAGCTTTTTATCGGAGTTTACAGCTGGTGAAGAAAAAGAAGAATGCAGTGCAATTGTGGCTTCCAGCATAGGAATATTTTCGTCAAGCCAAAACTCAAGCTCTCTCTTTTCCAATGATAGTCCTCCCATCCAACGCCAGCAACTCACACTAGAATGTGTTTCAATAGTACAACATAAATGATTCAGTAATAAAAACAAATAATGAATGTCTTTTACTGTGTACAATAGTTTGGTTTCCAGCCCTTACACAGAATCATTCTCCAAATCTTTCTCCACCGCTTAGCCAGCATCAGAGGACCAGCATAAACTATTAAACCCTAAGAAACACTGAGCACACAAACTAGTCCTCTCAAACAACCAATCACATGTTATAAACAATGTCAACCAATCAAAAGTCAAAACTCCCTCTCAATCTACTAATCATATAATATAATAACCATCATGTCCCAACCAGTCACATACCATAACCACTATCTCGTCTCAACCAATTACATGCCTTAGCTATCAACCATACCATAACCATTGCTGAAACACTCATAATATACCAACCTCTTAGCCAATCACAAGCTATAACAAACTAACCTCCACAGATCACATGCAATGGGAGACCTCTCAAACAACCAATCATAAGCCATAACCAAATAGGCTCTAAACTCAATCACTGGAAGATCATTCACACCATACAACTGCTCATTGTATCCCAGCCTTCCACTGCAAATGTAGTGTATCATTTCATTCTGTACATGTGGGAGATGTGCCACTGATATTCTGAGACAGTGGAGACACTAGCTGGCTTAAGCAATCAAATGCTCTGAAAGTGAATTTCATTCCCCAGCACAGATGTCAGATGACAAGGGCATTCATGCTTCACAGATACTAGTTCTTTGTGTACACTGGATACTTTAAACAGGTGACCAACCGTGGACACCTTAAACAGGAAGCCAATCTATTAAGGCAAATAACACCACCAATCCCATCACATGAGGACAGAGAGTTGGGTCCTAGCCGAAACCATTTAGCATTAAATCAAGTTAAACATACTAATAGATCATAAAGGATACGCCAAACTGAATAGAAGAAAATTCATCAACTACAACTCACACACAAACAAAACAAGGTTTCTATTGAGCTTTTTATCTCTAAAATCAAAACAAAAATATTAAATCAAGATTTCTATTTTAAAAAAAAAACTAAGACAGCATAAGGAGCCTGTACACTGCAGTGACTCAGTCTAGAACAAACGACAAGCAGAAAACTGGTTATACTGTCTGACAAGCATGGCAACTTATGGGGAAATGTCGGACAAAATGGTACAAAGTCCAACACTGCTTTTGTAGCTACAACTTGTTTACAAGAAAATAAAACCACACATAATGCAACTTAAATTTTACAATTCATGACAGCGAAGGACAGAAATGAAAACTTAGAACATTATTCCCCGGTACAGAAAATACATGATTTACTGTACAGATTTACAAACAAAAATATGTCTTGGTAAAGAAAACATGATTTCCTGTACAGATTTACAAATGAACACAATGAATCATTTTGGCAGTATAAAAATAAATGTGTCTTAAGCCTGAGTCCTCAGTTAAATTAATAAAGTTAAAAGTTAAACTGACAGAAGTCGAACATGATTAGGGTAAAGAAACAACCTTTAAAATATATTTAATAGGCAAACTGGTTAGACTGAATGAAATTCCCAGCTTTCTAATAATTACCCAGGAAAAACATGAGCAAAAAGTTGGCTGCATTGCCCAGAAGCACAAATTATGTGGTTGTGCTGTGACATAACAAAAATTCTGTCCAACAATTCTGTAAACATTGTCGGATGAATGAAGATGTGAGGGCCCCAGAAGAGATGTATAGAAGAATAAGGGGGAAAAAACCATTACATGGCAAGAGTGTTTTCAGATGCAGCTAGCATGGCAGCAAAATCCAAACAATCCTTAAATCAAACAGTGAAAGGCATGTGAGTGAATGCCTATGCAGAATCCAGTAATACCAGAAAAGCTGAATTTATGTCACTGTGAAAAAGAGCTGACCTACTGAGTAGTGTCAGTTTGGGGATAGGCGTCAGGACAGGTTAAACATTTTGGCCCCCAAAAACTGAAACGGGTTAAAAGGAAAACAGAAAAAAATCCAAACCTAAAGGCAGTGATAGTGCAACAGTTTGAGAAAACACCTTAAAACATATGTCAGGTTTCTCTCAGGCCATATATGATATGAAAATGTTGCTGTTTAGTTACAAAGTCAAACCTGATTCTCTTGAAACAGAAGTCAGCATTACCTGACTAACAAGGCAATTGAAGCTGTTGGATCTAACTTATTGTTTTGAACACTCTCAGCTCATTCACTCAAAACAGGTGGATCCATCAGGCAGCCTTGAACAAGTGAAAAGGCAATAGGCACTAGGGATTACTAGTTAAATGTCTAAATAATGATAAATGAATTTAACCGCTACTTGATATTTGAGCTTGTAGACTTCGTAACTGATTTCGGAGAACTTCTTTTCTGCGCTGTTCTCTAGAAATCTCATCCTCCTGGTGTCTGTGCTGGTTTTTTAAGTCATGAATATAGAATGCTGCTTCGTTTAAAATCAGAACCTTTGATGCTTTTGCCTGGTTGGCAATTTTAGGGACTTCATCGCGAAGATCCATGAATAAATCGGCAAGTTTCTGCCGACGATTTCTTTCTAGTTGATTATGATGATGTTGCTTCTCTTTTTCTGAAGCGTCCATTGAAAATTGTTTTCTTTTGTAAATTCTTTTGGATAGGACAGTTGGTCTGCCTGTTTCTGTAGAAGATGAGGAGGAGGAGGAGGAAGAGGATGATGGTGAGGGGTACGTGCAAGCCCCAGGGCTCATAGCATAGTCATGAAAGTTGACGCTGTTGCTGGTGCAAAGGACATGCTGGTACGCAGACTGCATTGGGGTTTTGGACAGGACATTTTTGTCTTTTGACAGTTTACGCTTCTGTCCCAACAAGCTGGATGAGCGGTTTGACAGAAGATTGCCAGCCAGCGATGAGCGGGACACTGCTGCTGCAGTTGCTGAGGCTGATGAGTGGGCACTGATGCGTCCATTGGGGGTTACGGATGCTGATAAGATGGTCAGCAGGCTACCACCTCGCAGTTTCTGCAAGGGTCCTGGTGATGAGGGACTCATGGCCGGGGAGAGTTGGGACGAATAACCACAGGAGTCTGCAGACCGAGGAGCATCTGTGACTGTCTCAATGTCTACGTCACTGTCATCACCTAGAAACACAAACAAAATTTGGTAACATACAAAATAACAACATGGTCGCATAACAAATCATTAAATTCTCAATAGGTCAGGAACCAACAATCTGCATACTAATAAGCCAGATCAATAAAATAGAGGCACATGCAATACTCAGGTTCCAGAAGCAGGTGAACAACCAGAACTTGCTGCCTGAGTTCACAGCCGGTGAACAGGAAATCACTAAATAATTGGATAAACAACCAGGCAGAAACAGGTGGCTAATCACAGAATAGAAACAAGAGGCTTATTCACAGAATTGTGACACAAACACAAGTAGCTTACTGACACACAGGTCGCTAAATTATAGAAAACAGGTTTATTCGCAGAATTGTGACACAAACACAAGAAGCTTACTGACAAACAGGTGGCTAAATTATAGAAAACAGGTTTATTCGCAGAATTGTGACAAAGACAAGTAGCTTACTGACAAACAGGTGGCTAAATAATAGAAAAAAAGAAGCTTATTCGCAGAATTGTGACACAAACACAAGTAGCTTACTGACTAACAATTGGTTAAATTATAGAAAAAAAGAGGCTTATTCGCAGAATTGTTACAAAGACAAGTGGCTTACTGACTAACAATTGGTTAAATCACACATTGAGTGTTTAAATAAGAAAAGTATCTAAATGTGGCAGACAATGAGGCAAATAATGACATATCTCCAGAACATTACTTTTAGAAAGAGAATCTGCGGTGGCAGGATTTACTGGGAAAGCCAGATGTCCTCATAATACTCCAAATAAAAACATGTGATGTGACAGCTGGGAACTCGGGGTGGAAATGAGAAACAATTCCTTGTTTCTGACTAACCTATACACAGCAAAGGACAGGACGACTGTTGAGTTGGTTAAGGGCCTATGCTCCACTGGAGGATTAGGGCAGAAGAGAAAAGAGGAGACAGTTTTTCGAAATATGTATGGCTTGCCGCTGCATGGTGGATCACAAATGAGTTCATTTGTAGAAGTTTGAGGCTGTGTAATTTACAGGTGTCAATGAATCAGTTGAGAGAAAGAGAGAGAGAGAGAGAGAGAGAGAGAGAGAGAGAGAGAGAGAGAGAGAGAGAGAGAGAGAGAGAGAGAGAGAGAGAGAGAGAGAGAGAGAGAGAGAGAAAGAGAGATTCACAGGTACAAATATAAATCAGTTTAGAGATTTACAATTATCTATATGTATTAGTTTAGAGAAAGCAAGCAAGGTTTTACAACTGCCTAAATGTATGAATTAGTTCAGACAAACAGATTTACAGGAGGTGTCTGTAAATGAATTAGTTTGAAGAGAGCTTTATGGAAAGATAAATTAATTAGTTTAGGCAAAAGTTTACAGTACAGGTACCTAAACAAAAACGAGTTTATACGAGAATTACCTGCAACAGTCTCTGACTGAGTGGATGGTGAAGGAGTGTCAGGAAAAGTCACATCTTGTGAAGATGAGTCATAATCATCATCATCATCGTCGTCGTCATCGTCATCATCATCCTCATCAGTGTTGTCATTGAACACCCCACGCCAAATATTAGTAGAACTCTTGGGCTGCACAAAATCCAGCTCATCATCTGCTTTTGGGGTGTACCATGCGCTGAAAGTCTTGGTATCCCTGACTTTGGGCCGCATCAGCTCTTCATATTCTGAATCATAATCTAAAGGGCTCATCAACTGCTCCAGGATAGTACTGGGTCTGCCGCTTTCTTTGCTCTGATCCGACATGCCCCCCGTCCCCATAAAGGGATCCTGACGGTCAGACACCCTGTACTTGCTGTACTTGTTGGGTGACTCACCGCAGCTGTTGCATCCGTCCTCACATTTAATCCGGTGGAGCTTGGGTCCCACATCGATGTCGGGACAATCCAACAGCTTAATAAAATCCACTGGAAGTTCATTGTCTGGTAAATCTGAGTCACTGTCGACAAAATCCCGGGAAAAATTCCCAGATATGGAAAAGTCAGATGATGAGGACAAAAGGTAGTTAGCCAAGTCTTCAAGTTCACCTGGACCATCCTCGAGTTTTATGTCTAGGTGCATACTGGACGCCTGAGGATCAAAGTTGTCAGTATTACTTTAACAATTGACTTTATAAGTGTGAATCAAACTTTATTACATGATATTATATGCCATGTTATTAGAAGATGGAAACAAACGTTGTGAACATTTAAAATATCGATGTGGAAAAAAGAAAAGTCCATTTTCAGAAGATAGCCTTCAACATCATGGCATTGAGGGTGTCAGCACAGAAACAGACGGGAGAGGCATGATCGTTTAGGCCAGGGCTATTTAACTGGCGGACCGCGGACCGATACTGGCCCGCGAAGGCTTAACAAGTGGCCGACAGATCACCTGCTAGTTGTATTGTAAAACCACTATGTTGGGATTGAGCATCTAGCCTGTGACCATTTCCCAACTTTTGGCCCCTGAGTAAACTTAGTCGAATAGCCCTGGTCTAAGCCAATGGGCAAGATGATAGTGACCATAACAGGTCACGCACTGTAACATTTCGATGGAGCTACGCCGCCTGTGTTGCTGCCCCCTACTGCAGGTAATGGCTGGTTAACAACCTCATGCATTGCATGAGTTAAGAGGTGACTTAGGACACACACACCGTTAGAGACAAGCAGCATTATGCTATTAAATAAACTAAGATCTAACACTAGCAACTTCGGGCCATCAACTAAAACAGTCGTACATTAACATGTCTACACATGGCCTGGAATGAGTTTTTAGGGCTTAATCTCGCTCCACGGTGGGGTGGGGGGGGGGGAGAAGAGAAAGGCAGAAAGAAAAAAAGAGGAAAGACCTAATACTGGCCGACGTATGTTCCGTTCCCTGTATGGCAATGCCATGTATATAACAATTTGATACCAGCTAGTAGTCCCTTGGTCATGAACAGTCGAAACCAGGGGATTCAGATAATAACGTCTCCCGTGGCTCAGATCCGACAAACGGAACCTAGGATATAAGTAATACCGCCTTCCAGTCGCCGGATATAGCAAGATGAACCTTGGCGACTCATAATTAACACAGACTCCCACTTCCCCAGCATCGATGTTCCTCCAAGGAGATGGCAAGTCGAACCTAGGAGACTCAAGATAGCAGCTACCAGTCGCTGGGACATGACAAGTTGAACCTAGAGGACTCAGTAATACCGCCTCCCCGGCTAGAGGCCGTGCCACGTGAAAGTCACGTTGTGCTTTGCCCTAGTTTACCAACCCGGACGTTACAGCTGTAGTCCTTCAAACAGCCGCTTGTAGACTAAATGTGTGAAAATACGACATTATGTAGCTTTAATCAGTTGTTAAATGTTGATCCACACCGAACATTTGCTTGCGGTACAACGGAACGAACATCCGAGTCTAGTTTTAGAATAATTTATGAGAATTCACTTACCCAGCAGACAAGACGAACACGACCCAACAACGTCGACAAGAAAAGCTTCAGCTAAGAACAGACACCACCCACAAAAATACACATTTGCCCGTATTCCCTTCACAACCGAAAGCTCATTTAACAAATTACCAACAACTTACCATTTTGCCGACTTCCCTGCTAAAATCACTAGAAGAGTTAGAACTGAGAACACCCGGCATTACGCTACAACTTGGCGAGACCCAGCACCAGACTGCGGCGGCGATCTTGTCCGCCTGCTCGTTATACATCTGCTGCCGCGCCGGTATCACTCCGCCCCGGCCTCATTATCGCCTTCACGTTCAAGGTCACATTTACGCAACACTTCTTATCCAAACATTTCTTAACAGCAACCTAAACTATACCCTTCCATTAACACAGTGCACTAATATTAATTTGTATTTTGTAATAAAAACGTTAATGATTATTTATTATTAAACATTAAATCCGGAACTAATTTTTGCGTAGTGTTATTTACCGGGGTGTAACAAGTGCAAATGGCGGGAACTAGTGGGCGGAGACATGAATATGCAGTTGGCGCAGAGCCAATGACTAGTAAGGACCATTTCATGAAAACTTGTTGAGTGTATTCAATGAACGTATTCAATCCCCCATCCCTTGAGTCGGAGGTGAAACCACTACCCCCCTGCTTATCGCTCAGTGATAAACTTGTCAGGAGACAACACCACTGCACGACTTCTCACCGTGTTTTTGGCAAGTAGACGGGGAATTAAGTTCTCGTCTTTTATGAAGTGTTCGTGTTTTCTTTGATTTGTAGGCAAAATGTCTGAAGTCAGCTGATTATTTGTGGGTGTTCTGAGATGTGGTACTCTGCGCTTGAGAGGGCTTGAGACTGAGACCTTGATACGTTAGGATATGTCGAATTATTTGGGGCTATTACAACAGAATAATGTTCTTAACTACTCAGTCTGTCTACAATTTCTAAAATGACATGGAAAAAATCCATGTTGTCTGAGGTTATAAACAAAAAAATTGTTCACACGTTGTCGCAGAGGACCATTATGATAAAGATATTAATCTTGGACAATTTATAAACCCGCAAAACAAGCCTGAGGTCACATACGATTCTATACAGAACATAAAGAAAACATTATTGCATAGGCACAATGAGTCTTCTAACTGTTCTGAAACAGCCTAACTCATACACGCACACCTAGAGACAGGCAGAACTAATATATGAAAGAAATACATAATGGATACAAGAAAGAAGGAAGGGAGAGCGAGAGAGCGACTGCGATACTTGGTGACGATGGCAGAGAAAGGGGTGTAAGCTGAGTATCATCACTAAAAAAAAAAAAGGGGGGGGGGGGGGGTGGGTGACTTGTCAGCTGGTTTCAAAAATCCATTCAAGGAAGATCATCCTAACAGAAAAACCCGCTAAAGTCAGAGGTGCCGTGTTGTAAGAGGCAAACAGACCAGAAAGATGTCACATCGGAACCTAAAAACTACGGTACCACACAGTTCCTTTCTCCCTGTAATGCCAAAGTGTACAACCAGGACAAGAGAAAGAGTTGGTGATCCAATGCCTCACTGAGTTTATGACTTTTAAGCATGTTTTTGTGTGACGGGATGGGGGGGGGGGGGTGTGGAGTGGTCGTATGCAGCGGTAGGCACTTCTTCTTCTTTTGTCAAAATCTGCTTGTGCCGCTAGGCGTCGCAGTCTATCAGATGATCGGCAACCGAGCCAGGGCGCGCTCAGTCGCTTCATATGCCGTGATGTTATGAAGTCTCAAGTTGTCCGTGACTCCTTCAATCCATCTTCTTCTTGGTCTTCCCCTGCCTCTTGTTGTTTCGATTTTCATGTTGTATGCTCTTGATGCTGGCATCGTTGGTTCCATTCTCATTAGGTGACCAAACCATTTCATTCTTTGCTTCTCAATAAATTTAACGATGGGTATGGTTCCAATAGTTCTTGTAATCACATCGTTTCTCACTCGATCTCTTCTGGTTTTATTCGCAGCCATTCTCAAACATCTCATTTCACAGGTGGTTAGTCTTTTCTCATGTTCTCATGTAGGCACTACACGTACTTATTTGTATACATTATTGTTTACCCTAGTGCTACTACAATAAATTGTCGTAGTGTAGCGGTTAGAGACTTGTCTGGGGATCAGGAGGTGGTGGGTTCGGCTCCTCACAGAGACGGTCGTTTTTTTAATGACCTTGGTTCCTTGAGCGAGTACAGATGCAATCCTGGGAAGTAAAAGACGCCGGCATGGTAATGATGACCACATCACCCACCAAGTGCCGATATGTCTATAAAATACGTCTACTCCCATATGCCCAATACGCCTATAGGCCTGGGAGAGTGTCCTTTACTTTACCTCCTTAGTGGAGTAAACACCTGCTGGTGTGTACCGGCACTTGATGCTCGAGGTGAGAAGAGGCGAACATCATCAAATCGGAGTAGTAACACACTTGGCGCACGAGCTAGCCAGACATTCAGTTAGCCACACCAGCTTTGTACTTTCAATGTCACACACGGACAGGCCTAGAAAAACATAAGGGCAACATTACAACATGTGATCACCGTGTAAGTTCCGGGGCCCTATTATAGGGAAGGCAAGAATAGACCCACTGCCTTGGAGCTTTCTTCGAAGTCGGAGTGCATCAGCCTGAGAGGCAAGGAACCAGTAGTCTACATACAAATGAGTCAGATCTGTATAAGGGGTGCAATCGCAACACTCATGTTTTGGAACAGGACTGCAGTCCAAAAGTGGGTGAACAACTGAAACTTTTCACCAGAGTTTACAGCTGGTGAATGCGAAGAAGAAAGAAGACAACATGTGAGATGAGATGTATGAAGGGTGGCGGGAAAAAACCAGGAGAGAGAGAGAAAGAGAGAGAGAGAAAGATAGAGAGAGAGAGAGAGAGAAAGAGAGAGAGAGTAAACAAAGTAGAACTAAGAACAGTGGTAGGGACAATACTTATAAATGATTTCACAGACTATCATGAAAATCAAATAGTTTCCGTCATCTGGTCAGAATGGATAGATAGAGCGTACTACAGGAGAACGGCAAGAGGCCGACCAAGAAAGACATAGATGGATGGAGTGAAAGAGACACTACAGAAACACAATATGATATTAACGTAAGCTACACAACGTTTTACAGCATAGACAGTAGCAAGAAATAAAAAAGCAGACAGACACTTTTTCCCTAGAAACAAAAGCCATATATATAAATATTACAATGTGTTCATGCGTCATATAAATGTAAGTCCTCGACTGCAGATGTTTTGAAAAACATTTCAGCATGTCACACACTTGCAGCACATCTATAACACCTAATCTGATTGACAATCATATCTGATGCATACTGATTTCTAAGTAAGTATGTGCTGGTGTATTTCCATACAGCTGCACGCTTCGTAGCAGTGTTAACACCGCATCGACATTTCATTGACAAGTCAGTGCGAAGATGTAAACCAGGAAGAGGTGTGTCAGTATTCACAACAGCCAATACAGCAGACGGCTCAATGGGGACGAACTACAAATCGTTTTATGAATGAGGTGACACTGCGGGTTGAATAATACAGCTAAGTGTGTCTGGTGTTTAGAAGTATTAACACATGTTTTGTATGTATATAACGTGTTAAGTGTGTATGTAGCGGGGACGGGAATGGTTGCGTTAACATAAAAGTCAGTAGTTGATACGTATTTCACAGATTCCAGGGCACACCTTTCAGGTTCCTGAGTCCCTAGGTTCTTGTACCTATAATCAAAAACAGCTGCTTCTAAAGCTAGAGTTTTCTGCTACTGTCAATGGTTCTCACTCGACTTTAGTATCCACTACTACTACCACCATCACACCACCCCACTACTACTACTACTACTACTACTACTACTACTACTACTACTACTACTACTACTACTACTACTACTACTACTACTACTACTACTACTACTACTACTACTACTACTTCTTCTGCTTTTTCTTCTTCTTCTTCTTCTTCTTCTTCTTCTTCTTCTTCTACTACTACTACTACTACTACTACTACTACTACTACTACTACTACTACTACTACTACTACTACTACTACTACTACTACTACTACTACTACTAATACTATTACTGCTGCTGCTGCTACTACTACTACTACCACTAATAATAAAAAATAAAATTACTCCTGCTGATACTGCTACATTACTAAACTACAAGTAGTAATGCTGCTGCTGCTGCTACTATCACGAGTACTACATATATAACTAATACTATTACTACTGCTACCACCCCTACTACAACTATTCCCACTGCTATTGCTACTCTGTTACTATCACCACTTCTACTACCACCATCACCACCACCACCAATACTTCTTTTTCTTCCTCTTCTTCACGTTCACGGCTTTGAATTCCAGCGTAAGATTCTTGTTGTTCGTCCACTTCTGGACTCTAGTCCTGTTCCAGAAACTTAGTGTTACCTGTACATCCGTTTCACAGGTGTGACTCATTTGCATGCAGCCTGTTGGTTCCTTGCCTCTCGGGCAGAATTACTCCGACTTCGAAATTTGCTCCCATTTAGTGGACTCTTGCGACATGCTTTTAGGCAGTGGGTCTGTTCTTGTTTTCCCCACAATGGGGCTCCGGAACCCACACGGAGAGCCACCAGTACTATAACTACTCCTGCTGCTATTGCTGCTATACTACTACTGCAAGTGCCACTTTAATTATTACTACTACTACTACCGCCACTACTACTACACATACTGCTACAACTCCTACTGCTGCTTCTGCCAGTGCTGCTGCAAATACAACAACTACTACTACTAGTACTACTGATGCTGCTGCTGCTGCTGCTACTACTACTACTACTACTACTACTGCTACTACTACTACTACTACTACTACCACTACTACTACTACTACTACTACTACTACTACTACTTCTACTACTACTACTACTACTACTACTACTACGACTACTACTACTGATGCTACTGCTGCTGCTGCTACTACTACTACTACTACTACTACTACTACTACTACTACTACTACTACTACTACTACTACTTCTACTGCTACGACTACTACCACTACTACTACTACTGCTACGATTACTACCACTACTACTACTACTACCACTACTACTACTACTACTACTAC